GAGTGAGTACTCTTTCCACTTTATATTTAAAATATAAAATATGTTTTATATATTTAGTATAAACATGTAAATGTAAAAATATGTTTACAATTATATCATAGAAATATTTAAAATATTTTTTGGAAAAAATTTAAATTTAATAATTTACTAGTTACATGATCTTGAAAATGTTCTCCATTTATCAGATATTATTTTTATTAGTGAAAATAAGGTATAAAAATCTGTTTCATAGAGTTTTACTGAGGTATTATGACTATAAACCTCCTAATAGTACTACAGTTGATACATAGTGGATGTTAAAGTACTGCTGCTACTTGATTTATACTAACTATTAAGAATGATTTCAGTTAATATTTGTTAGACCATCATTTTGTGCCTATCCTCCTGCACATATTCACACGCACATCATCTTCCATCATGTTGGTCTCTTGCCGACATGTGAACCAATGAATACCTACTTGAAAAGATTTTGTCCTCTCTATGTATCTAATCTTAGATCCTAGTCATATGGCCATATCTATTTTGATAGCTTACCACTCTAGTACAAATTCTCCTTCAAAGAGACTCAATAAGTATTGATGAATCAATGCCCACTTTCAGAAGGACTCCAAAAAACATGTGGCCCACATTTCTGACCCACAATTTTGGCTAATTTGCAGTTTGTGCTAGATTTGGGAGAGTCATGAGGAAGGGAAAAGTTTCTGAGGAGAGGCTTCAAACACCCAAAAAAGAGACTGACTCTTAATCCCCATGAGAATATGTAAATTCAACCTTTTACTTCCAAGAACACTTTGGCCTATAAAAGTAAGCCACTACTAGCTCTATCCAAATGTACTCCAGTTGCTAAGCACTGCACCTTAAGTCACTGTCTCTGAGAATCCCGAATTCTTCTTTGAAAAATAAAAATGAAACCTCCATCATTTTTAGGAATTCTCACCGAGTCCATGTGAGAATACAAGTCTTTCCATTATAATATCTTGCATACTACCAAGCATTGTGCTTGTAAGTTTTTACTGAGTCGTCACTTTCTTTGGTAGGTCAGGCCCTTCCATCCTGAATGCCAAATGATACCATTTTTACAAAATGTCTAAACACAACAACAAAAAGTTCTGTAATATTTACTGTGGGCCAGGAATTATTAACTGTATTACATGTATTAACACATTTAATTATCCAAAAAATTCAATAATGTACGTGTTATTAATATCCCCATTTAAAGTTGAGCAGAACAAAACAGAAAGATTACATGATTTGCCAAACAGTACAGCTAGTTAAGTGGAAGCTGGTCACTGTAGTACTAAATAACTACTATACTACACTGTGTAGTGAGAAGCATGCCACAATGGGTCTTTACAAAACTAGAGAAGTATAGCTGGATTTCCTGTGCTGGGTCAGTTATGGGTTGGAGATTTAACAAATCTTAATAAGTCGGGGGTTCCATAAGAACAAAAAGCCAAGTGAAACCTGAGTTACTTGTGAGATGTAATTGGAAAAAGGGTAGCTAAGCCTTGGTAGAAGTAAAACTCTGAAGAATTTCTGACTCTTCACTAACACTTGAGTGTGGCCCAGGAAATGATTAGTCTTGGTTGCAATTTAGCCATGAGGCTCTGGACCATAAAAAGAGATTTTGGCAGAACACATAAGTAAAAGCATACATTTGAATGCATATAATGTGTTAGTGTCTCCATCCTAATTCACCAGCACATCAGAAACATCATTTTTTATTTTAACTTCAAAAACCTCTGTTAAGAATGTTTTTATTCTAGTTAACAGTGAAATAACATCTCAGTGGTTACGTGACATTGCTGGGTCACATGCCTGTGCATGGCAGAGCTTCTCTTCCCCCTGAACCATGCTGACCCAGGAGGGACTGTCCTCTGCACAGTTCCCAGAGGGCTTTGTCCTGGATCACTCACTGCAGAGGCAGGTGATAGTGTTTGCAAAGATTGGGAGGGAAATGTTTGGAGACCTGAAGTCTGTGCCCAAGAGATAAGACTTCAGGACTTGGGATGGGTGGAAAGTTCGGGCCTGTTGTCTCATGGCTCAGATAGCACCCACCATAGCCCTCCCAACCCCGCAGGCATGGCAACTCCTGTGGGTTACTCACTGATAAAGAATTATTTACCTGAACTTAAAATTTTATCCCAGAGACACTGGATCCCAGGGGAACCCCTTGATTTCTCTTCTTCCTTTAACATGCTGCCCACAGAGAACTTCTCTTGGGCTCTTTTCTGATCCTCACTCCTGTTTCCCTGGCTCTTCCTCCTTTGTCTCCTATGCTTCCTTCACTCATCTACCATTCCTCAATTTCACAGACCTTTAACATCCCACTTAAGTCTTGTTCTGTCCTCTTCTTTCAATGTTTCTCATCTTGACCACTTGAGGTGGCCTCTAAGTCACCTAATCTTTAGCAGGAAGATTGACAAGCAATGCATAGCCCTCTTGTCCTCCTGTTTCCCCATGAACCACAAACACACTGATTCCCTTGGCTTCTCTAAAGGTGCTTGATTGATTCCGTCTCCCTCTAATAGCACCTAGCCGTTTTTCAACTCTGTGGTTACAGTGCTGGTGATGATGTGGGGCCTTTTCTCTACAGCTTACAGTCTTGTCCCTGTGGCCACAATCAGAGTCCTCAGGGCCCCTGAGAGGCAGGCAAAGGCCCTGTAACAATGGTCAGGGACATGCAGTTTATGCTGCTATTAAGCCCACATATATTGAGCATCTATGATGTTACCAAGACTGTATATTTCAGTGGAGGTGATGTCTCGACTGTAACAACTGCCCTTTAAAGTCATATCTAAATTTTTAAAACTTGCTGTATAATTTAAATGTGTCAGATTGTGTTGAATGTAATCAGGTATGTTTTATTGCAACATTAAGTCTCATTAGAGCCTCAGAGCAGCTAGAATGGCAGGAGGCCAGTAGAGGAGTTCCACCCATGGCCCTGAGACATGTGCATATCATTAATGGTTTAATATATGAATATGCTTTATGGAAGGACTTCTTTATAGTACTAAAATCTTATCCACTCCTGTGCCATGAGAAAAAATATTTGCTGACTGACTGGTCAGAATACATGGGTCTGTTTGTCAGGCTATCTCTATCTAAGTGCATCTCATCACAATATTTTCTACCATACAACTATGATTACATTTTGCCAGGCTGGAACCATGTTTTGTCTGTGGTATCACACTATACCCTTACTCCATGCTTTCATTGGCATACACAGATGGGCCTCTTATAAAACTGTTCTCATGGCACTGAACCTTTGTCGAGTGACCACCAAGTCCTTCAGGTTCACTAGATACTTCCATGGACTTATGATATAATAAAGACTTTATTTTAATGGTTGGCCCAGTTCATGGCCCTAGAGGTCTATATATCAACAGAACACCTCACTAGACAAAGAAGAAATGTTTTATTGGCAACTGTGATAAACCGTATCTTAAATTCAAGGTTATTATAGATACACTTGTTTTTGTTGAGGGCCTCTTGTTTGCCCCACTGAGAGTAGGCTGCTGTGGAAAGGAGAGCAGCAGCAGCAACAACCTGAGCAAACCCCTTGTCATCTCTTGCTCTGTATCTTTTTTCTCTTTCTTGCTCTCTTTTTGTCTTCTTGGGTATTCAGCAGCTGTTAAGAAATCTTGAAGACCATGATGATTGAAAATCATTCACTAAAAATCAACATTCAGTATAACCACATTAGGATAAAAATTCACCAATGGGAAATTAATAAAAGTGTAAAAGTTGTCCTGTGAATGTGGCTTCCATTTACTCAGAATATGTGGTCAGGAAGGAATAGGCAGACCCTGTATACAAGGGACTTTTCTACTCACTTCGAAAAGCTTCCTGTCACATAGTTGCAGGCAAAGAGCTTGGGGAATGCCTCAGGGAGAATCAATTTCTCTCTCTCTCTCCCTCTCTCTCTCTCTACCCCTTCCCCCCTCCCTCCACATATATGCTTGAATAAGAGAACCTGACACAGGAAGATCATCCACTCATAGTTTATTTTATTAGCAAAACAGATCATACATCATGACTAAGAGAAATTTATTCCAGGGATGCAAGTTTGGTACAATATTCACAAATCAATAAACATGATACACCACATAAACAAAATGAAGGCTAAAAATCACATGATCATATCAATGAATGCAAAAAAAGCATTTGATAAAATCTAGCACTCATTTATAGTAAAAACTCTCAGCAAAGTGAAAATAGAGGTGTACAGCAATGTGATTAGATAATCACATACTTTACAAAGTGCTCCCTCCAATATTTTCAGTACCCACTTAGGACCATACATAGTTATTACAGTATTATTGATTATATTCCTTACATTGTATTTTGTGTCCCTGTGACTATTTTGTAACTACCAATTTGTATTGATTATCCATAATTTCTGAGTAGCACCCTCTTGTTTAGATTTATAACAAAAATTCTTCCTCTGGACTAGAAATTAACTTACTTCTTAATTTTAATTTATATACAATACAAAAATTGAGCATTGATATTTTAGATGTACAGTTGCCTTATAGATGCCTTGTGCTAACTAGTAGTCATTTGGAATTAGCTCAGACAGGTTCTCTGTTTCACTGATGACAATATTCACTAGTTTTCTACAAGGGATAAAAGAGATAAAAGTCATTGGTTGCAGAGATGTTCAGTCAATATAAAACAAAACAAGACAAAACAAAACCAGTATCTGTGAATAGAAACTGTCTTAAGTTTTTTGGTAATGCCACAGAACTCAGAGTCATGCCACTGGTGCTGTTAGTAGAAGGAGCATATTTGAATACATAATGAATATGAACTGAGTACATTCTAAGCACCTTGCACTGAGTTTAGTGTTTTATGTGGCTTAGTACATGGCTTAGTACATGTCATGGAAAAAAGGGAGTGACAGAAGAAACAGTTGTATTTCAAAGACATGTCTTTCTGACATTTGTCCATTTATTTTAATGTGTATTTTGGAAACTATGCCAGTCGAATTATCATGTTTATAATCTCTTAGCCCTCTCCCAGATGGGAAAAGTAAATGTCATATTTTTGATGGGAGAGAATAACTGGAGTACACTACTGCGAATCTGCTTAGTTTTAATGCTATAGATGACAGGGTTCATGAAAGGAGGGAAAAAGAAATAGTTGTAGCTCATTGTGATGTGTACTAGGTGGAGAACATTCTTCCCAAATCTATGGATGAATGTCAAACCAATGACAGTGACATAAAAGACCAAGATGCAGCATATATGAGAGACACAAGTGTTGAGGGCCTTGTACTTATTTTCTCCAGAAACGATGTTCATGATAGTCTTAAAAATCAAAATATAGGAGCAAAAGATTATCAGGCAGTCCAGTAAGACCATAGTAAATATCACTACAACAGGATAGAGGTGATTGAAGGTGATGTCAGCACAAGCTAGTTTAATAATATCCTGATGGAGAGAAAATGCATGAGAGAGGACATGGGAACTACAATAAGAGAACCAATAGAGAGGCAATATTGGGGGCAATATGAGAACAAATCCCCTCGTAAAAACTCCCATTCCAATCTTTATCATCTTGGTGTTGGTAAGAATGGAAGTATATCTCAGTAGGTCGCAGATGGCAATGTACAGATCATAGGACATGGCTAGCAGAATTCCAGACTCAGTGACAGAGAGATTATAAATGAAGTAGGTTTGGAGAAAGCAAGCATCATGGCTAATTTCCCTTTGATTCATCCACAGCACACGCAGCACTGTAGGCATTGTAACTAGTGTCACCCCCAGATCTGTGGTTGCCAGCATGGCTAAGAAATAGTACATGGGCTCATGGAGGTTATGGTCATCCCTAATGAGAAATATGAGAATGCCATTACCTAGAAGTATGGCAGTGTACACTGCAGATAATGGAATCAAGGTCCAGTGGTAGCCTTTTCCAGGCCCATGAATCCAGTCAGAAGAATTGGTCTGGTACTGGTGTTGAGTTCCATGATGGACTTGAAAATAGAATAAAGCTTCTCTTAAGAAAAGGCTGTGCAAGTCTTCAGAAATTCTTCTGTGGCTTTTGCTTTTTTAACTTAGTGTAGATCTTCCCTGAATGGCAGTGACACCAAAGAAACAAAGTATTTATTCTTAGGAGAACTTTAGAGTTGGAAAAACAGTATGAACAACTTAAGCTTCAGTGCTTAATATGTGTGTCAGGCAATATATTGAGTAAGGAGGATATAGAAGTATATGTACAAGATTGAGCTGTTTCTTATTCTGCTGGAACATAAAGCATAAAATATATTCAGAAAATTAAAGAAGAATAACATGGATATTTTACACATATGGTAGAGAATTTACAGGATTCTATGGAAGCATATAGGTGATTGACTTTATTAAATCTGTCCAGATAGAGACATGGCAAAGGAAAACTTTCCAAAGTGTGCAATATCTGACAGATGTGTGGGGATCAGTCAGTTATAAAGGAGGGAAATTTTTGTTTTGAGGGAATGGCAAAGGAGAAATTCCTAAGGTAAGAACGGTTTTGGAGAAATAGTTGATACTCAATGTGGTTAGAGAATCCAGAAGAGAGTAACAAATGGTTAGATTGTAGAAGTTTTACTGGTTCAAGAAATTATGTGAGAGGTATAGCATGGTAGCCCTCTTACTGCAGGGAAGGTGCAAAAACACTTAAATATCTGTGCTTTTTAAGTAATGTTCTCTGTGTTGGATAAGCCATGGAGACACTAGGACATGGAGAAAATACCAATATATCACCATGGACATTAAGAAGAATATTCTACAAAGCCTGTAGGACCTCTAGACTTGCACTTTAGACAACTTCTCAGTTGTCTGCAACTCCTCCAATTTTTAACCTTAAAATTGTGGGTAGATCCCTTTGGCTTTCTCAGCCTATGAGCCTCATCTAAAAGTGAATGAGACTAATTAAGTTTGTTTTGCTCTATGAGGACTCAGTACAGTATCACTTGGGAGTGAATTGTAAGCAGCGAGATACTGTGCATAGCAAGGGTTTTTGTTGTTGTTACGTTTATTTTAAAGGGCCATACTAACTCTGTTTGCCAGAGGCAGACAGGTATCATTCACACTCAGATATGTTGAATCCTTCCAATTTGCTCAAAGTGTTTGGAGAAGAGGTAGAGAATATTGTTGTTTTAAGAAGGCATGTGAGGAAGATGACTGAAATGAATAGCTCGGATCTAGTGAAAAGTTACCGATGTGTTTGGGGTGGGTGGGGGTAGATGATAAAAGGGACAGAACACTTTGGTAAGTACCCACTAAACCAATTGACTCCTTAGGTACTGGGCTTCTTTTGAGGGGGAGGGTAGGCAGAATATTCCTTGGTAGAGGTAGAGTTCAGAAAAGGAGGAACAGAATGTAATAGGAAAAAAAAGAAACTTTTTTTGAAAAGGATGAGTCTGAGTTGCCTATTTTTACAATTTAGTCTATATTATTTTTTATTCCATGCTGAGTGAGGCAGGAGGGGGCAGAGAGGGAAGGCAGAGCTAGAAAGCATAATTGTTTCCTATTATAAATCAAACGTGGCCTGCATATGTAGGATGTGTTCCTTATTTTTTAATAGAATGCCCACAATGGTTCTACTTTCCCCATAACAATAACTGATACTGGGATGCCTCATCAGCAAACCAAAACTTCGACAACTTTTGTGTCTTTGCAAAAGCTCTGCTTGACCAGAAACATGGTATATCTGGTCTGCCAAGCCCCAAACATCAAGCCAACTCTGAGTGTTCTCACCCCAAATAAGGTTGACTTCAGCCAGATATTCTCAATTTTTCTCTTCCTTGTTCTTTATTCTTTATTCTATAAAAGCTTCTTGCCTTCTGCTCTATTTTACAATTCTCCAAGTAGAGATTGTCTACTTTAATTCCGTGAAGTGTTAAATAAAGTTTGTGTCACCTAAATTGTCTTCATTAAGCTTTTTTTTTAACAGTGCAAAGACCCATAATTCTAAAACTGTTACTTCATGACCTTGAAAATTATATCCACCAATATATAAGGTGGATCAATCTCTAGGGAACCCTTGTGGTCTCTTATTGAAGAAAAACTATTTTCCCAAATGAATCATCCTGTTCCTGAAGCTATTCTGGATCTCTTTTCTCTTAAGACTCCACTCATGGAGGAACTACCCTCTGATATTTACTTAATCTACCTTACATTTGCCTTTTTTTTTTAGCTTCCTTTCCATCCTTGTTTCCAGACTTTATTCCTCCGATCACTGTCTGCCTTGTACACTTCTATCTTCTGCATTCCTAATCTAACTTCATTTCTGTTGCCTCACTATCTAATTTATAACTAATGATGTTATCCATTCTGATACTTGACATTCAGTAGATGTGATTTAGTCAACAGGTTCTCATTATAAGGCTCACTATATAATGTTTATACTTTTCAAAAGCCATGAACTGATCATCTGACCTATACAGATACACTAAATTTCTGACCTTACCAGTGAATACTGATTCTGGATGTCCTATCCAAAGCATCAGTGACCACCTTCCCCTACCTACTCCACCCCAACACTAGATCTGCGATCACTCCCTGTCTGTGTGGGATTTGAGAGTCTCAAAATATGCAGAGTCTACATCTCAACATAGAAGAGAGGGAACAAGGAAGCTCTCCTCTGCCTTTAGTTTGCAGTATTTGCACATTTATTTTCTGAAGGAAACTGAACTCACTTCTGGGAATATGCAACAATTTAAAGCAAGTTGTCTGATATCAAAGTCCTCAAAATCTGCCCTTGCTTTAATCTTAGACTGGTTTATTTAGCAAGTTTTTTTTTGTTTTTGTTTTTGTTTGTTTGGGGGTTTTTTTGCTATTAGTCTATACCCTTGGTCATTTTAGTGCCTCCCCTCCTCAACCTCATTTATGTTATTGAGTAATAAATACTTGATGGGACACACAGAGGCAAAGGGGAAGCTGGTTCCAACAGAACCAGAAGAGATCAAGAAAGGAAACCACCCATCCTGGAGTCCTGAACAAAAACACAGATGTCTGCCTCTATTGTCATGAACTCTCTGCTCTTTTCTTCCAAAATATATCTGCCTACTAGGGAGGAGAAAGAAGGTATTGTTCAAAATTCTGAAAGAAGAAATTATTCAGATGCCATGTTTTGGAGGGAATCTTTGGGATATATTTCCATGCCCCATCATCTCTTGATTGATATATTACTGCCTTTCTCTGTAAGTTGCAATAAACCAACTATACCCATCCCTGCTTTGCCATACCTTGTCACCTGTACTGAGCCTTCCAGGAAAGGACATACCAGAGCAACTTACTGACCTGTTCATTAATCTCTTGTTCATCAGTGCCATAGATGTGACCCTGAAATGATGAGCCTGGGGAAGGTTTTGGTTCTAATACCACTTCTTTAGATCATACCCAGAAGCTGAGATTCAAGGAGCGTTTGTTGTAGATGGTTTTCCCCAAGGCTCATTTCTGCCTCCTCCTTCCTTCTTTGTCCTCTTAGCCTTGGGGATTTGGAGCTTAGAAACAGTGGTTAACCAGGGTCTCATCCTGTGTCCAGATTTGGGCATTAGCCTTGTCATCAGGAAGATGATTCATTTTAAGTATCATATACAGTTAAGAAACACAAAGGTAGAGAGGATGACCTTTTTGCTCCACCTTTCTTTGAAATTCCCAGGACCTTGCTTCTACATTGAAGTGTATGTGAATATAAGGATCAGAGCAATGAATTAAATTCATCTCTCAGAAAAGTTTCCCCATCCAACCTCCCTTTATCTTACTCTTGAGATGTTCAGCTGGGACAATAATGATCTCAGAACTCTGCTATGTTTCAGAGGACTCACTCTATCAAAGAGAAACTGACCTTCTTAGTCCTGTATTTCTAATATACTCTTTCTCTGTTCTCTTTATCCCATCTCTGCAAGATAAGGAAGGACAAAAAGGGAAGAGGAAAACTTGAGGGTGTCAATCAAATGTGCCCATTTGAAGCCTTTATAAAAGACATTGTTAACCTAATACCCTTTATGTTAGTCTTCTATGGCAGGTTTCAGGATCATTGGGCCTAGAGATAAAGTCAAGAAAGGTTTTCTCTGATGTAGCTTATATACCCTTGAATTCATTCCCAAGATGACAAGGAAACAGTGAACTCTGACTTAAAGAGTTGTGATCTTATATATTTTAGAGTATTAGATGAGGCATTACGGGGCATAACAACAGAGTCATAAAGAGAACCAAAAGACACACACAGAGACATGGGTCATTTTAAATTTCACTTATTTAAAAAAAAAGTTATGTATTTTATTAAAGATATTCTATGTTATTGTATACAACAGGTTAGCAGACCTGTGATAGTATTATCCTCTTGGAGCACAGAGTCTGGAAGCTATGAAAGGAGAAACAAAAAGGTCACACACAATCACAGACACAAAGCCACAAACAAACAAATGAGTAAATAAGTAATTTCTTGAATTTATCTGGCAAAAATCATTTATTAGCCTGGAAGCTGCTCTAAAGATCTGGTTTCATGTTTGTTTTCATAAATCCCAGGAGTTCTGGGAAATATTCTCCAGTCTGTGACCGAGAGTAGGTACAGAAGTCAGAGACTACTTTCAATACCAGTATGACAGAGCCCAGAGACAGGGTCCAGTTTATGAAGGGAAGTGACCAGTCACTGGGTGGCCTGGGTTATAACCCTAGCACTTCATACTCTATCTTCTCTTTATAAGTATATCTCTTTGATTCACTTTAAACCTATCACTTGAATCACGTATTTTCAGCTGGTTACAGAACGGTGAACTCTTCCTACCATGCACAGACTGTTAACAAAATTGACTTTAATAAACATTTGGAGCCAGGGAAGATCATTTTTTTCTTCTAGTCACAAGCTTGTCTCTATCCTCTCCCTTTCTCCCCACTCATACTTATGACCAACTCTTTCTCAATTCTGGTATTTTCACATTTCAGGAACACCCATTTAGCCTTATCTATGACAAATCCCAAACTGGACTTTAACACCACATTACTCTCTAAAAATATATATCTTTGTTCAGCAGCATCTGCGACTGACTTGTCAAGACAGTAGACATCAGGTTAGGAATTATATCTCTATTATTATATAATTGTATCTCTGTTAT